AGGAGGGATTGTGGTGTCGGGTTATTTACATTTCTAATAGTTCTGAAATTATTAGATAGCTATTTTCTTGGATCTTATTTTCCCTATCAGCCACAGACTGTCTGTACATCTTGTGTCATAATTGCTATGAAAGCACCTTATTCCAAATGACATTCATTTCCACGTTTTTATGCCTAAGCTCCTGGACGTGCACCATATTTCGAAGTGATATGAGAGCGTTCCGTAAGCCATGTTTTAGAACTCCATTCTCTTATCTTGGCTTGGGTAAATCAACAAAGGTATAGAGGTGCTGATTAAAAGCCAAGCTTCAGTGGAAAATTATTTCAAAGACAAAATTAATAGAAACTGCTCAACTAAACAGATTTGCAGACCTGGGGGGAAATACAATAAAAAGACTACAAGAGAACAATAGAATCATTCGATCTCGCTCTCTCATTCAATAATAATAATACATATTTACCTTTACATGTCACATCACTGATAGTCCCTTTTTTATTCTACTTTTTTTTTTTAAATGTGCTTATTGAACATAACTCGATTCAGTACAGCACTCCAATATTCCACAGATAGCGTGGATGGCCAGCTCTCCGAGTTGTAATTGTCTGTGAGGTTTCTGCAACTAATTGGCTAATTCAGAAAGTCATCTCCTGCCTTGGGCCTGCCTCTTCCCTCTCTGCAGTGTTCCACTGCCAATCTGCCTCTGTCTGTCTTGACTCACTCTACTTTGACACTGAGCCTCGCTTCATGCCCGCTGCTGAGTTCCACTTAGATGTCCTTTGCTTCTAAAGCCAAACATTTTAAATCCTGATTAAAAACTACTTCCTAACTTAAACAAAAAAACAAAAAAGGAAAAGGAAATCGCCCCATTCCCCCACCCCTTTATACGGACAGCTTGTCTCTCTCTATTTTTCATCCAAATAAGCAGAGCTCTGTAAATCTTGTCCAGAAGATACGGACTGAAAGAATTAATCAAAGTGTTGTTTATGAGCTGCTCAGAGCAGATTAAATGTTGTGTTGACAACACAATTTGCAAATTATCTATCAACATCAACAGGCATACAGCAATGAGCCAAGCCAATTGGATACCTTTGGTCACAAGAGGACCATGTATTTCCTAGTCTTGCTTCCAAAACTAAAGTCCTTTTGAAAGAGCTTTATCCAACATTATTTGCAGTCTCATTTCTGCAGATGAGTTCCTTTACAATTTATTTTGGACAGTGCCAGTTTGATTTCTGCCACATACAAGCAAAGTTTCTTGCCTCCTCCATGCCAGACAATCTCTAGCCCAGCTGAGATTGGGCTGATATCTACCAGATATTTGCCTCTTAAAAATACCTATGGCAAGGTGGTGCCTATGGCTCAAAGGAGTAGGGCGCTGGCCCCATATACCAGAGGTAATAGGTTCAAATCCAGTCCCGCCCCCCCCCAAAAATACCTATGGCAGCAAACCTCTAAAATGATTTCAACCTCTGGGTATTCACAGAATTCATCTCTTTATATGTAGTTTCCTCATCGATGACCAAGTCAACGTGTGTGGCCAGTAGAATAGGACACAGATGGTGTTATGTCACTTCTCAGATCTGTTGCACCTGTGAGTTGTTCCTGTGTACTCCTGGGTAGTATTTCATTATATTCTATCACAATGGTTTATATATTTACCTGTAGATGAATACTAGTTTCCAATTTTGACAACTATGAACAAAACGACTGAGAACATAGGGGTACAAGTCTTTTTGTGGACATAAGCTTTGAAAATAAATGCCTAAGGGGGAAATTGCTAGATGACAAGCTAACTTTATGCTTTGTGTTATAAAAGTTGCAAACCTATTTTCCAGCAGTATTTTACAGTTTCATCTACATGGTCTGAGTGTTCCATTTGCTTCCATCATTTCCATCATTGCCAACACTTGATATTTTTGTTCTTTTTAATTTTTGTCATTTTAATAAGTGTGAAAATGCTCTCTCATAAGGTTTTAATTATGATATTTTTCTGATGCCTAATAATGTTAAACAACATTTCATAAGTTTACTATTTGTATACCCTTCCTTTCTTATTGGCCAGGTGCGATGGCTCGCACCTATAATCCCAGCACTTTGACAGGCCAAGGCAGGAAGATTATTTGAGCTCAAGAGTTTAAGACCAGCCTGAGGAAGAATGAGATCCCATCTCTACTAATAATAGAAAAACTAACCAGGCGTGGTGACAGGTGCCTGTAGTCCCAGCTGGCGCTCAAGCCTGGGCTGCAAAATGAGACTCTATCCAAAAAAAAAAAAAAAAAAAAAAAAAAAAAACCAGCTTCTTATTTAATTTCCAGGTATTTGAAGATTATATCATATCTTATTTTACAATTTTGAATTTAATTTTAATATGTCCTAACATGAAATGTCATAAGATTTCAACCTTTTGAAATATACTGAGACTCAGTCTGTGGCCCATTATGTGGTATATCTTCATGAACATCATATGTTAACATAAAAAGAATGTTTATTCTGCAGTTTTATAAATAACATTCTGTAAATGTTAACAAATTTGGCTAATAGTGTTGCTCATATGTTTATATTCTTTTTTATTTTTTGAGACAGAGCCTCAAGCTGTCCCCCTGGGTAGAGTGCCGTGGCATCACAGCTCACAGCATCCTCCAACTCCTGGGCTCAAGCGAGTCTCCTGTCTCAGCCTCCCAAGTAGCTGGGACCACAGGCACCTGCTACCTGGCTATTTTCTTTGGTTGCAGCCTTCATTGTTGTTTGGCGGGCCCCGGCTGGATTTGAACCCGTCACTTTCTAATCTATAAAATGTGCTAGAGCTCTTTTTGCATTCTCAAATTCTATCTGAAAATGTTTGATTCATTATAAAGTAATTATTAAAACATGTTTTCCATTTGGGAAGATGGGCTCAAGGATAAAACAAAGGGCAGGAGAAGAATTTTTTTCTGGCTTCATCACATTACCAAACTTAATTTATCAATATAATTATTGACATGGAAAACATGATTTTGAGGAAATAAAATTCAAGCCTATCCCACTGAAGTGTGGGAAACCCTGACATTTTAGGACACAGGCAGCTGCCTTCAGACCTAATAGTACCAATGGATAAATTGTCATCAAGTGCCAAGCAGAATCTTAAGCACTTTGTACATGTTTGGCACTATTTCAATTCATTATAGGAAAGAAGAAATGAAAGTTCAAGGAGTGAAGTGAATAGACTTTAAGACAACTCTCATGTTTCCTGTTTCCTGGTATCCATATCCTGTGTAATCTCCTCCTTTTCATTGTGGGCAAGATCTGGGACTTTGGTTTAACCAACAGAATACACCAAGGATTATAGCACATCCTATAAGACTCTGTCTTGCTAGCATTCTAACTCTCTCTATTGGTCACTTTGAAGAAGTTGCCATAAATTCCATTACAGCCATAAGGAAATTACTTTTGCCAATAATCCAAGGGATCTTGGAAATGGATCCTTTCCTACTTGAGCCTTTCATAAGAAACGAGCCTGATTTAAAGCTTAGTTGCAACCTGTGAGATACTACAAGAGGACCCAGTGGAAACATGCCCCAATGCTTGACCCACACAAACTGTAAGACAAAAAATGGATGCTGCTTTAAGGTACCACATTTGTGATCAATTGTTCTGCAATAATACATAACACAAGAGGTAAATCAAGATGGTCAAGGTCACACAGGTAGGAAGCAGCAACTACAACCAAATGAAATCTATTTGAATTCAAAATGCTTACTTTTTACTAATATTTTATATTATATCTCACACCTCTGCTCTGAAGTACCCAATCCCCCACCAGTAAAACATTAGTAATGCCAAGTAGTTTTACCAGTGCAATCTTGAATTTCAAATAACTTTGAACTTTGATGTGAAATCTGCTTGCCTTTCATGTGAAATGGTGGCAAAATCTCCAGGTGTGAATAATAATAGCTGATAATTAAACTTACCAGTATGTGAGGAACTGTTCTACCAGGATTTATGTGCACTATCTTATTTAACCCTTTTACACTTTTATGAGACTGATACTATAATTATTCTCTATTCTAGAGGTAACTGCAAGTTATAGAGGTTATCAAATTTGCCAAGGTTCGTACACCTACTAAATTCCAAAGTAGAGAATTTGGGCTTGAAGCCAGGTCTGTTTTGTCTTAACACATGACATTTGCAGTCAGAGAAACTTATAAGCCATTGACAGAGATTCACATATGGCCTAGAAAATAAAATATTTGGAAAATGATGCAGGTTGAAATTGCAATTGCTAGTTTTAATGTGATATGTGCAATTCTCTAAAGCAGATGGACGCCACTTATTGACCACCACAAACATTATGTACTGGACTGTGTGCCATGATAATATTAATGACAGCATTGAATTTTACCCACCTACTCTGCAATTATTTTTACTGATTTTCTTTATATTACAGGCACATAGTAGATACTAAGAACAAAGAAAAGGTATAGTATAGGATTTCAAGGAACTTACAGTCCATTGATTTAAAAAAAGATAAGTGAATTAGTTAATTGTAGTTATGATCCCAATGTTGAATCTATTTGTAGACATTTTTGTTTATTGGTAAGTGGCCAGAATCATTGCTACCCAAATACTTAAACCTCAAATAATTGAAAACGTATTTAAGTGGTGACTTACTTGGAGAGTGAGATATGAACATTGCAAATATACAGTAATTTCTGAATTTTAAAAAAGTGGTGAAATGGAATAATGTACTCTCTAGGAGTTATTTAGGAAAGATACCCAGATTTTGAACAATTGCTTTGGTCTTTTAGAAAGGTGAGATGGGAAGCCTAAGATATTCCCATTTTGGTAGATTCTATGTATCTGGTTAGCTCAATCAGAGCAGCTATTTTGATAAGTATGAATATCTGTCCCTGTGGCAAACACTATGAACCCTTTCAACACTTTTTCCATCCTTTTCCCATCTGGTAGAAGTCTTACTCATTGGGTGGGTCTTAAATTACCTATGAATTCCCAATAGTCCCTTCCTCTTGGCCACAGAGATAGTCTAATCAGAAAACTACTGTTCAAGATTAGCATGGCCCCTGCACAAGGATGACCCCAAAATTTGTGAAGTGTTCCATTTTTTTTTTGGTGCAATTTTTTTTTTTTTTTTATTATTATTATTTTTTTTTTATTGAATGGTAACTATGTACAGTAATGCACTTCTGGGGTACAGAGTGGTGTTTTCACACACAATCTGAAACACTTCCATCAAACAGGTTAGTTCCATATTTCTGACAAGGTTACCAGCAAATTTAATGGCCAGTTTAAAACCTATGCTATCTGTGGGGCCATTTGCAGGATCAGTGAATCAGATGATTCCATTCTCTGATTGGCCAAGGGTGATGGCATCATTTCAAAGAATTTCTGACTGGAAGGAATCAGGGATGTGGAATGTATTACATAAATAAATAGTGAACCCCCCCCCCCAAAAAAAAAATAAAACTACTGTTCAAGAAAGATACTGAAAAAGAAGAAAGCTACAACAGTGACCCATCAATAACCAATAACCTTATTTTATGCAATTAATATTTACATCAAGTGATAGGTTAAACAATGGCATTTTTCTCACCTACAATTTTGCTATAGAGAGCATAATGAAATAGGAACTAAGGATTCCTTTAATACAAAACAAAAAAAAAATTGATAAGTTTGCTGGATTCTACAGTATAATTATTTTAATATGTGAAAAACAAACTTTCATAATGTCAGCAATTTTCTGGAGGACGAAGTACATCTAATGCCAATGATTTCATTAAGCTATTAGATTCCTTTTGATTAAAATTAACAATTGGTGTGACACTACCTGACAATGGGAGCTTTTCATCAGAGCAGCTAGTTCAAATACCACAGTGTTGTCTTCCTTATCGCTGTTTCCATGTGAAACTTGTAAGAATAGAGCTTCTTCAGTCCAACAGCTGGAAAACTCCACTTCTGAGATAAGAGAGGTTGTGTTCATCATGACAAAAAGTGCAATATTCTGAAGGAATTTGTAGAAATAATAGGATCTACATGAAAATGCTGACGACAATTTAACAAATGTGTCCAGACACTGACTTATGTTTTAAGTTCCTCTTCAAAACTAGGCATTGCACTCACGGCAGCTATCTAACTGGTGATTGGCTTCAGCTTTGGATAACCACATGTAGCTGTTCTCTCTCTTTCTCCCTCTCCTTCTCCCTCCCTCCCTCCCTCCCTCCCCCTCCTCTTCCCAACAGAAATAACATCTAACAATCAAAACTCTGGAGAATTGCTTAAGCCCAAGAGTTGGAGGTTGCCATGAGCTATGATGCCACTGCACTCTACTGAGGGCGATGTAGTAAGATTCTATCTCAAAAAAAGAAAAAGAAAAAAACAATTAAAACTCTGAGAAAAAGAATTAACTATACCCAGATTTTCTATATCTAATAATGATTACTTTTCTTTCTTTCTTTCATAAATTGGTGATTTCTTTCTAGGAGAAATAGAAATGACAGCTTAAGAGGCACCAGAGATAGTTATAAGCAGTTTACCTATATGGACTCATTGGGGCTTCATGACAACACTGAGCAGTGGTTTGCTATCATTAACCCCTCTTTACAGCTAAGGAGAATAAACAACAGGGAAACTGAATGACTCACCAAAGGTCAGATGGCTATCAAGCTTTGCCATCTGTTTTCCAGATTTCCTATGCTTAATACACGATTTCTTAGAATACAAATTCCTAAAAAAAATTTTAGTTTTTAATGTGGTAGCAATCAAGAAATTAGAACTCTGGAAAAACTAATTGATTTGGGGTAGTTAGATGAAATGGATTTTGGTCTGTTGTTTCAGTTTTTTTTTTTTTT